CCCAGATTCAAGTCCTCGACTTGGCAGTGTTGCTCGTATTTTTCTGAATTTATTCCATTATGTAACGGTGTTGTGCTTTCAGCAGCTCGAGATGTGCCGGCACAGTCTTTCGGTGATGATCATAGACATAGGGGTAGGGTTTGCGTACATGCGTTCATAGGGATAAGCGTGCGTACGTGTTGAGCGTCTACATATGTACTTGTGCAATTCGCAAAAAAATGTTATATATAGACTTGGTCGAAGTTGAGAACATTGATTCGGGATTAATAAGTTAAAACTAAATAAAATTTGAAATGGAGGGAATAATATAGAGTACTGGGTGGCAAATCAATCAGGCCTTGGTACAATGGACAAGAAACCCAAACATATCACTGGGAAAACAAACCACTAGATATGAACTAAGGGCATACAACATAGTATTTGTTTAAGCTATAATTTTTGGTCTTTTAGCACAAAGGCTGACTTCCTAGCTTTTAATTTCATTTCAGGTTGCTGAGCTTTTTTTTACTATTGAGTAATAAATTTTGTAACTTATCGGCACACAAAAAGCTCCTCTCAAAGTGATTTTAGCTTTTAGTTTATTTTCTCAAAATTCAGCTTTCTAGCTTTTCAAAACCAGCTCAATAGCGGAGCTGTTTGTTTTAGCTTCACGCTGACAGAAACCAGCGAAACGACGAAAAACAAAGAGGCTCTAAAAGCCAAGCCACTCAGCTCCGCTCTATCACATAAGGGGAATGATGGCTAAATACATTATTTGATATAAAACCTAAAATATATTCTCCATTCGTTTCAAGTCAAATGACCCTCTTTAGCTAAACTTATATATAAAATAATATATTAACATTTGCATGGTATGGTACCAAATAAATTCGCCGTGTCATTGAGCTTCGTGTGTTTCATACGTTTCAGATGTATATTTTATTTGGATGTTATATAGTTGCAATGGCTATACACGTATGTTGCAAGTGTATGTTTCAAATGTTTAAGCTGTTTCAGATGTATGTTGTAAATGTTTTTATCTGTATGTTGCATATGTTTCACTGGCTATACACGTAGGTTGCAAGCATCTATTCAAAAAAGGTTTCATCTGTTTCTATAGATGTCCAACGGGCCGGCCCGGCCTGGCACGGCACGAGCCCGTGCCAGGCACGTCCCAATGGGGTTCGGGCCGGCACGGCACGTCGTGCCTCCCGGGCCGTGCCGAGGCGGGGCACCGTGCCTGACCTACGGCTCAGGCATGGCCTGTTGGGCCGATTTTCGGGCTAGGCTGGCCCGATAAGCACGGCCTGTCAGGGAGGCCGGGCAAGCCCAAGGCCTGCTTCAGCAGGCGATGACGGCGTCGAGGTCGAGGGGGCCGCCGGCCGCGTCGGCGGCATCAGAGCGAGGAAAGGGAAGAACAGGAAGGGCAGTAGGGGGCGAGGGGCAGCACGGGAGCGCGGTGGCGGCGGTCGATGTCGGCGCGCTCGCCCTGGCCTCGAGGCAGATCCGCAGCGTCAACCGTCGGAGTAGCCAACGGGACGCCAGATCCGATCGCCCGAAGCTGGCTGTCACGCTCGAGGCCGACGGCGGTGCATGGAGGAGGCCACAGAGACGAGAGAGAGGCGGGGAAAGCGAGGCAGGCAGGCAGCTGCTTAAGCCGGATCCGGCGGCCTCGTAGACCGCTGCAGCGCACCCGAGGCGCGGAGCCTAGGGCCGGCGCACTCGCTCCCGAGGCGCGGCCACGAGGAGGGAAGGAGCCAGCGGCGCCACCTACCGGCGAGCGGAGGACGGGGGAGCAAAGTCACGGGGGAGGACGGAGTGCGGCGCTGCCGGTGCAGAGGAGTGAGTGCGGCGCGGCCGCGTGGGGAGGGGACTGCGCGGGGCAACGAGGAGGGGGAAGGGAAGGGAGTTAGGGTTCGGGGGTGGGTGCGAGCGGGGAGTCCCCGCTTATATATGCAGGGCGCGGGGAGGCGGCAGGACGGGCCGCCAGCTGGCCGCCGATTCCGGAGCGGGCCGTGCTGTGCCGGCCCACGTGCCTGGTGTAAGGCACAGGCACGGCCTGCTCCTCCGGGCTGGGCCGACGGGCTCGGGCTGCATGGCCATATATATATGTTTCATATGTATGTTGCAACTGTTTTATATGGATGTTGCAGTTGCTATACACATATGGTGCAAGCGTATGTGATAAATATTTTAACTGTTTCAGACGTATGTTGCAGATGTGTTTAATGTTGTAACATTAACAGGCGTAGCCAGCGGACGCATACAGAGACGGTCTCCACGGGCGTAGCAAGCAAAGCGGGCGTGGGCCCGTGGGTGGTCTCCACCTGCATGCGCGTCAGCTGGGTCAATAATTACGAGACGAATCTTTTGAGCATAGTTAAACCATAATTAGACAATAATTATCAAATACAAACAAAAATGCTACAGTACCAAATACTGATTCCTAACTCGAGTCTAAACGAGCCCGAGACAGGCATGGGTCGAGAGGATCGGGCGCTAGCTATGCCCTTCCAAATTTCTTTTTTTCGAGTAAGAAGCCCAACAGCCTGCCGCTGTGGCCTGTGGGTTGTGTCTGTGTAGCGGCCATGCTCAAAATCCAGTCCAGCAACGGAAGCGAATCGAGGTTTAGTCCAAGAATTGAGGTTAGCAAATTTAGTTATGTCGTCTAGTTTTTCGTAAAAAAAGGTATGTCCTCTAGTGCTGCCTCAGTCCCAAAGTAATTTTGTTTCTAGAATCGCTCTAAATTAAACTATTTCAAATTTAACTAATTTTATAAGAAAAGTAATATCATCTATGCGACAACAAATAAGTATATTATAAAAATATATTTTATGATTTATGTAGTGATATTAATTTGTTGTCATAAAACATTGGTACTCTTTTTTCTATAATGTAGTTAAATTTAAAATATTTGGACACTTTGACTAAGAACATATAACTCTAAATAAGTTGATTGTTGTCAAAAAAAAGTTGATTTAATCTAGAACCGAGGGAGTATATATATATATATATATCATCTAGAAATCCTTTTGCATTCAACGCACGCAGAAAAAAAGACGCATTTCTTAAGATAGACTGTACATACGTGTGTTGGTAGAGGGAGTAAGTATGCTCATATATATGCGAACGTCTGCATCTGGATTGAGTAAAAAGAAGACTACGCGTTTGTTGCTAATAGGTAACACTCCCTCTGCCCTAAAATATGTGTCGTCTTTGTTTACTGATGAGTTAGACGTTTTTAACTTTGATTAAATATACAAAAAATATTAAATGATTATAATACATAATCAGTATCATTATATACATCATTGAATCTATTGTTATAATAAAATTATTTGAAAATACAAATGTTACTATTATTTTTTATAAAGTTAATTAAACTTAAAAAAATTGATCGCCACGAATACATAACAATATTTATTTTGGTACGGAGTGAGTAGCCACCTACTCCCTTCATCCCACAAAAGAAGACATTAAGGGATACATGCAGGTCAAACCTTTTCAACTTTACTATACTTATAGAAAATACGTACAATATTTATATTTCTAAATAAATTTAATATAAGTGTATTTAATAATTTATCTAATGATACTAATTATCTATTATAAATATTAATATTATTTTATAAACAATTGATAAAGTTAAAAGATTGACTTCTCAAGAAGTAAGCACGTGTTCAAGACAGATGGAGCAGGTGGCTGATCGGCATAGTTCTGCTCATCGGTCAAAAGTGGGAACGTCAAAACTTACGAAATTAGGGGGTGTTTAGTTGGGCAAAGTTTGCGCAGGCAAATTTTACATTGTGAAGATGTCTTACTGTAGTATTTTGTTTATATTTATGAATTATTGTTCAAACATTGACTAATTAGGCTAAAAAAATTCGTCTCGTAAAGTTAAAGCAAATTGTGCAATTAGTTTTTGATTTCGTCTATATTTAGTACTCCATGCATGTACCGCAAATTTGATGTGATGGGGAATCTTCTTTTTGTATAGTGCACTTTTCAGAAGTTTGGAGAAACTAAACAAGGGCCAGTACTCAATCAGTTCCAAATTATAAGACGTTTTGATTTTTTTAGATACATAGCTTTTGTTATACACATAGATATACACTATGTCTAGATAGTCTCGCCGTCCACAAAAGAATACAATTATCACATTTCGAGAAATCAAACGGTTTCAACTTTGACTAAAATTATATGAAAATATACTAACACTCATGAGACCAAATAATTATCATTAGATTAGTTATAGAATATATTTTAATAATAAATTTATTTTGAGACATAAATGTTAATACTACTTGCTATAAACTTGGTCAAAGTTGGGTTACTTTGACTGACACGTTTTTTATAATTGCATTTTTTTTTGGACGGAGGAAGTATATGCTAAAATTAATGTATCTAAAAATACCAAAATATCTTATAATTTGGAAGGGAGGGATTACTTGTTAAGCATCTCACACGTCAGTACTGCAGATTGACAAGTATCACGTCTCAGATAATTGCATTGGGAAGTACCATGCGCGTGATGCCACGTATCACACGTTACCAGTGGTGAATTGTATGATGGCCACGTATCAGCCGTAATCTATACGTACGTGCACCAGGCCACCAGCCCGCTTTGCTCTGCATTTATATATACAGTGCTGTCAAGGGAAGGGAGAAACACAAGCACACAGAAGGAAAAAAAAACACAAATGGACATTGGCCCCGTTCGCGTAACCTTAAACCCGGCTTGATCCGTTTCTTTTTTCATCCGGAACAGTGTTTTTCTCTGACAAATTCCTCCAGCATTCCTCCAAACTATCCAAATTGCTCCAGATTTTCTCCAAACGAACAGGCCCATTGTCATTTCTGCAGTAGCAAGCGAGCTAGTGAGCCGGTTCATCTCCTTCCTTTCCAAGCAATACAGCGGGCACGCATGTCTGAAGCAAAACCTAGAAGAGCTGCGGCGTCTCCTCCTCAGAGCCCACACCATCGCCGAGGAGGCCGAGGGACGGTACGTGTCCAACTTAGGGATGGTAGCGCAGTTGAGGACTCTGACAGAGGCCATGTTTCGAGGGTACGACGTGCTAGACACCTGCATGCCTCTCGAGAAGCTCGGTGTCGGTGTTTCGGACCACCGGCTAGTAAATTTGTATCTACGCGTCTGGTTTGGATGGTGTGCTCAGAGGACACAAAGATTTATATTAGTTCAGACGGAATGTCCCTACGTCCAGTCTGCTGCTGCCCGTATTACCGGCATTAGTTTGTAATAGGGGTTACAAACGGGCGAGAGAGGGAGAAAGTCCCAGGTCTCTAGTGAAAAGATCGAAGTTGAGTCTTGTTAAGCTCGTTCAGCCGTATGCTCGTGCCTATCTCCTTTCTCGTATTGTGTTGCGTCCCCCCTTTTATAGAAGAAGGGGAAGATGCATGTTACATCAGAAAAGTAGAAGAGAGAGAAAGAGAGAGAGAATCGAGGAGAACAAGCCCTTTGGGACGGCTCCACGTCGGGCTCCTGTTCACCACTGGTGCCATGCCTCGACTTCATCAGCTGGTCGTGGCGTTCCATCCCGTCCCGATGGACGGCATGGTGAACCGATGTGCCTGTCAGCGGTCGTACGGGGATTAGGCAGCACAACGCCTACGCACCCGTCACTGTTGGCGATGTGAACCCCCGGGCGTGGCCTGTCGTGGCCACGGGTCACGTCAAGGCATGCCCGCACCCCTTCTGGTGTCAGAGGCTTGACCCAGGCTCACACGCTTGGACCCGTAGTGGTTGGGGGTGGTACGGACCCCGCCGGACGAGACGGAGCCCGCGTCCGAGGGGTCGGGCGAGATGGAGCCCGTGCCCTCAGGGTCGGGCGAGACGGCTCCCATACCCTCAGGGTCGGGTGACATGAGGCCCATGCCCGAGGGGTCTGGCGATGCGCAAACCGTCCCTTCGGGGTCGGTCGAGACAGAAATACGTCCTTAATTATCTAGGCGAGTTGTTGTCAGTGGTCCTCAGATCCCTTCTTCAGGTATCCCTAACACTGATACCCGACAGTAGCCCCGAGCTTGTGGAGGAGTAGGATACTCCTTCGTAGACTTTTTCGGATGGAGGGACTTCAAGGGCTTCAATCTTCTGCTGCCCGCGGGACGCCTTGGTGGGTTACGATCCCTTTATGTTGTGACCGAACTTCTTTCGAGGGCGTGTAGCTGTGGGATTTCTTTGGGGACCGGAGATGGTTTTCCTTAATTCTGGGCCCTCTTAGGACCTGATCGATATGTCATCGTCACGCGGCCGCGTATTCGGTCTCTTCGTGAGTCCAATTCCCCCTGAGCCTCTGCGCGTTGCGGGGGTCCGCTCGAGGGATCGCCTCGTCTTGCAATCGTTCTCCCTCAAGTGTTTTTTTTTGACAAAACTGAGGGGTTGAGCCGTGCCATGTTTTCCTTGGTGGACAAAGCATGGTGCTCGGTTAGCTGCTAACGGGCTAGTTCGAGTGGGCCCCAGTGTCTCGTTCGTGGGGGTCCGGCATGGGTCAGCTGGTGACCGACTCCTAATTCCTGACGACCAGTCCATATAGTTCTTTGATCCGTTTGTCTAGTCCCAAGTGCTCGCTGTCTTTCTTTGAGGAAAAACCATGGACAGTGCACTGGCCAGGACTCGAACGTGGGCCGAGATGCCCGTAGCGCTCGTGCGGTTGGGTATTGGCCGCTAGCGGGTCCATCCTTTTCCACCCCTCGCTCTAAAGGTGCCCTAGAGCAGCTGTGAACCCCTCAGTGGGCCAACCTTCGAACTCGTGGGCTGTAATGGGCCGTGGGAGTGTTTTCAGCCCTGTATCCCTTCCTTACCTGTGTTGGTTCTCGGCCGTCTTCGCTTTCCATGGAGTCATGGTACCGCTCCGACGTCACCTACGAACGCATGGAGGGCCTCGTCAAGCGCGGTCTTCTTCGCGGGAGGACCGACGCGATGGAGTGGCTGGTTCCTGGCCACGAGGACATGCTGATGCCGCCCGACTATTACATCTTCTCCTTCGTGCCCTTCCACGAGCATGGGCTCGTGATCTGCCTCATCCGTTCTTCTGGGGGCTGCTGCACCACTACCAGATCGAGCTGCAGCACCTTAAATCCAACGGGATCTAGCACGTCGCAGCCTTCATCGCGATGTGCGAGGGGAACCTAGGGATCGAGTCGCACTTCAAGTTATGGAGGTACTTCTTTGCCATCTCCCTACACAGGAAGAAGGACAGAGGCAGGGAGATCCAGGTGCCGATGGGATGCGCGGGCATCCACCTCCGGGGGCAATGGGCGGCCAAGTACATCCCCTGCCAGCTATCCAGATCCAACAAGGGGTGGTTCTACTTGAAGAACGACCCCACCGCCCCCTTGCCGGACTTCACCGGGCGCTTGATCGAAGAGGCGCCGCCGACATGGCCATGGGGGCCACCCAACAAGGAAAATAAGAGGATGCATGACATCCTCGAGGCCATCGCATCCCTAAGGATCCATGACCTTCGCGGGGCCGGCGTCATTGGAGCATACCACGCGAGGAGGGTGGCGCCGCTGATGGCACGCGCCCTCCCGTTGTTCGGGATGATGCCGGTTGTGGAACTCGGCAAGATGGTGCTTGCCCAGGGGCCGCTTCACAATAGCGAGATTGCGCAGCGCATCAAGGAGGCGACGGACGAGTCTGACGCCGTGTTCCCTATCCCAGGACATCCCGTGATGCGGCCAGAGCCGGGCTTTATCAAGTTGCCGGCGGATTTGGGCTTTCGGGCCTCTGTCGCGACGCTGCCGGAGCATGCGTGAAAGGTCCTAATGACTAGAGGGGGGGTGAATAGCCTAATAAAAATTTCTACAACAACACTTAACAAATCGGTTAGATAATTATAAGGCGAAGCAAGTGTTGCGCTAGCCTACTAAAATTGCAAGCCACCTACCACAATTCTAGTTTATGTAGTTTCTATCCACACAATAGCTATGTCACTACACTAAGTTAGTGTGCTCTCAAAGGCTAACTAAAGAGTCACACTAACCAAACTAACAAGCTCTCATAACTAGCTACACTAAAGAGCTTGACAACTAGTTTGCGGTAATATAAAGAGAGTGAGCAATTTGTTTATACCGCCGTGTCAAGGAAGGAGCCAATCAATCACAAGAGTAAATACCAATGAAGACCAATCACCTCGGAATCAAATGATGAACACAATGATTTTTACCGACGTTCACTTGCTTGCCGGCAAGCTACTCCTCGTTGTGGCGATTCACTCACTTGGAGGTTCACGCGCTAATTGACATCACACGCCAAACTCTCAATAGGGTGTCACACAACCAACATAAGATGAGGATCACACAAGCCACGAGCAATTCACTCGAGTACCTTTTGGCTCTCCGCCGGGGAAAGGTCAAGAACCCCTTACAATCACCACGATCGAAGTCGGAGACAATCACCAACCTCCGCTCGACGATCCTCGCTGCTCCAAGCCATCTAGGTGGCGACAACCACCAAGAGTAACAAGCGAATCCCACAGCGAAACACGAATACCAAGTGCCTCTAGATACAAACACTCAAGCAATACACTTGGATTTTCTCCCAATCTCACAAAGATGATGAATCAATGATGGAGATGAGTGGGAGGACTTTGGCTAAGCTCACAAGATTGCAATGTTAATGCAAATGGCCAAGAGAGTGAGCTTGAGCCGGCCATGGGGCTTAAATAGAAGCCCCCACGAAATAGAGCCGTTGGGCTCCTCACTGCACTAAACACAGGCCGACCGGACGCACCGGTCAGATTGATCGGACGCTGGACCTCAGCGTCCGGTCACGCGATGTGTGCCACACGTCCCCTCTCTTCAAATGTTGATCGCCCAATCTCAACGGTCAAGTGATGACCGGACGTAGTAGCTCAAAGTGACCGAACGCTGAGCCCCAGCGTCCGGTCGTTTCTAGTAAGCATCTAGAGACGACTTTTCACGACCGGACGCGTCTGGTCATGCTCGATCGGACTCACCCAGCGTCCGGTCATACGGTTACTCTTCTGTGCGCCCCACGTCAGCGTACGTCAGCACTGACCGGACGCACCTTGCCAGCGTTCGGTCGCATTTAGCGCCAGCGTCCGATCGAAGACCAAAACACACGCCCTTCTGCTGTCACAGACCGGACGCGCCGGTCCAACCGAGACCAGCGTCCGGTCACTTCCAGTGACCTCCGTCTTTTCTGTCTAGGGCGCCGGTGAAGTTTCCTAACCCTTGCTCAAATGTGCCAACCACCAAGTGTATCACCTTGTGCACATGTGTTAGCATATTTTCACAAACATTTTCAAGGGTGTTAGCACTCTACTAGATCCTAAATGCATATGCATTGAGTTAGAGCATCTAGTGGCACTTTGATAACCGCATTTCGATACGAGTTTCACCCCTCTTAATAGTACGGCTATCAATGATCACACTCACTAAGTGTCTCGATCACCAAAACAAAATGGCTCCTACAATTTATACCTGTGCCTTGAGCCTTTTGTTTTTCTCTTTCTTCTTTTCAAGTCCAAGCACTTGATCATCAACATGGCATCACCATCATCATGTCATGATCTTCATTTGCTTCACCACTTGGAGTGTGCTACCTATATCATGATCACTTGATAAACTAGGTTAGCACTTAGGGTTTCATCAATTCACCAAAACCAAACTAGAGATTTCAACATGGCCATGAGAACGGCGAACCATGCCGCCAATGAGCGGAGGAAGAAGGATAAGGATGACAAGGAGAAGAAATGGTGGGCGAAGGAGCGGGCAAAGCTGCAGCGAGGGAAGCGGCGCTAAGGCTCATCGAAGGAGGAAGAGGAGGAGGAGGAGGAGGACGATGGCTCTAGGTCGCCCATCCCGTGGGACGATCTGGTCGGCGGGGACGAGGACCCGCCCTCGCCGTAGGCAGGGCCCTTCCTGTGGCATCTCTTGGAGCAAGAGGAGGACACACCCCCGCAGACGGTGGGAGCGAGTCACCCCGCTCCATCCGGGCCTTCTACGATGCCCCTGGAGCCAAGGAGAGCTAGTGGCTCCGCCTCATCCGAGCCTCCCAAGCAAATGGAGGGCTTGAAGCAGCAGCGCGACGAGGAGTCACGGCTGGGGTCGGGCGAGCCGGCCCCGAAACGTCAGCGCCCCATGGCGTCAAGGTAGGCTGAGAATTTTTTCATCCTTTTGTTTCTAACAATTTTTTTGTCGTGATCTGACCGCAGCACCTTCCGCAGCGTTGGAGGATGTGGGACCCTCCTAAAGCTAGCACCGAAAAAGACTCTCGCCCTTCGGCGGGCGCGCCAAGACCCGTCTGGTGCCGCGCCGGAGGCCAGCGGGAGCATCGCCGGGGCGACTGCGGGGTCCACCAGAGAAGCGCAGTAGACAACCGTGTCTAAGGGAGGCTAGGTGGTGGAGGGCGCGTTTGGGGCGCCTATGGCGGGGGCGGCGCGGCTAGGCGTAGCTGCGACATCACATGTGGAGACGGTGCGGCCGGAGCCATCGTTCGCGCAGGCGAGCGCGTCTGCGGCGGGGCAGACAGGGGAGGCCGCACCCAAGGCGTCCTCAATGGACGTGGCACGGCCAGGAGCAGCCACGACATCATCGATGGAGACGGCGCAGCTGGGGCCGTCGTACGTGTAGACGGCCGCATCCGTGGCGGGGCGGATAGAGGAGGCCACGCCCGGTGCATCCTTGGCGGGCGCGACAGCGGGACAGGCATCCTCGTCCGCGTCCCCTGTCCCCTCTACTACTGGGGGCCCGTCCCAGAGGAGTTGTTACCGCAAGAGGGATCGGCGCTGAGGCGTCCTGGCCTCTGGTTCGGGTCGGCGATGACCCGCACGCTTGGGGAGGACCCTAGATCTAGTGGGCCGACTAGCGGAACCTAGGGGTGATGATCTTTGCCCTCAATGACGTCACAGAGGAGAGGGAGTGGGGGTGCATTCACTCGGGGTCGGGATCACGATCAATGCCCTGACCACCACGCTAAACTCGTTGTAGGACGTCATCACGCCGGTCGGCCAGGAACGTCATGTCCGTGTCTCCGACCTTCGTCTCTCTCCTTTGCGCCACTTAACTCGTGTCCTCTCCGCAGTCTCTCATGGACTGCAGCCGGGAGAAGTCCATGTTCCTTCATTGAGAGAAGGATGTTTGGGACCGCCTTGTCGAAGAGAAGTGATGGCGTGAGGAACTAGAAGCACAGCTCGCTGCCACCCGTCAGGAGGTGGCTGAGCTCTCCCCCGTCCGCTAGGAGTTGGATGATCTGCGGATCAAAGAAGCGGAGACTCGCGTTGATGCCCAAGAGGCTAGGGAGAAGCTCGTGGCCCTGCTTGAGAGGACACACGTGGACGAGGTGGAGGTCGAGCGGCTACGGAAGGAGCGGGACGACCTGCTCCAAACCGTAGATGGGTTCCGCATAGAGCGCGACCTGGCTCGTCAGGAGCGTGCCGACGCCCAGAATGCAATAACCTGCAGGGCGAGCTCTGGGGAGAAAAGGACCTAAAGGTTGCGGCGAAAGCGGTGACCGCTAGACTCGCCATGGAGGTCAGTCAGCACCGGGAGCAGATCCAGAACCTGGATGCTGAGGTGACCCAGTGGCGTGACGAGGCGCACAAGCTCCAGACGGATGTGGATGGTAATCCTCTGGTTTGCCTTGTTGTCCTTTTCCCTGAAACCTGTGGTGAGTACTTTGACGTGGTTGTCGTGTGACTTGGACAGGACTTGACGGCAGGCTCACGGCGGAGGTGACGAAGAGCCGCAGCCTAGAGAAGGAGCTCGGCGAGGTCAAGGCCACCCTCCTAAAGGAGAATGAAGAGCACGATGCCCTGGGCGTCGCCGTCCAACTGGTCTGCAGCGACCTTAAGCTGGTCCCGGCGTAGGAAACGAGCTTGCTCGCGGTTCATGCCGTCCAGATCATGGATCGGGCACATGACATTGCGAGGGGCGCGCTCCGCTTTGGCGTCAATCAATCGTTCACGATCGCTCGCTCTCACTATGAGAACATCGATCTCGAGCCAAGGCTTTGCGCCCGGCTACTCCGATGCTGAGCTGGAGGACATCGAGAAGGAGGTGGTCCCTCTGGCACATGACTTATCTACCAAGATAGAGGATGAGATCATCCCCCCAAATTAGTTAGTTAGATAAACGAAGTGGTGGTCTTGTAATAAATGAACAAGTTTTAGTTCTTTTGTGTTATAAAAAAGGTTACTGCATTCTGACCCTTTTCCGTTGTTATGGCTACAAAGCTTAAGGCGTGGGCGAAAGAACCCTGATCATGTTGGTGAGAAAGAACGCCGTAGCCGCTGGGGCGTAGGTTCCTTGCAGTCTGACCAACTTTACTCAGTGTTCGTTTCCACAACTCTCGCTTTTAGATCTTAACGTGAGAAGGGGTCAGGCACAGTGATTGTTTTTGAATAGGTATGCTCTTATCAGCCCCCGAGTGAGGCCTGGCCCCGTGCCGTTGCTGGGGTCGGGTGTCACTAAGGATCGCGGACGAGATAGCAAAAAAGAAAGCATTTTTGTATTTCAAAAACACCGTTCTTAGTTTCATGGGTACATGCATATGCTAAGGGTAAAAACGACGTAGCTGCTCGATGTTCTATGCGTTTACGAAGACCTTGCCGTCAATGGTCTTGAGCTTGTAGGTGTCGCGCCCTTAGCTGTTCCGCCCGCATGCGACGAAGGGCCCCTGCAACTTCCTTGACCTCGTCGTCGAGGTCGTTTGGTGGGGTAGCCCCTCCCTCGTGGATGCTTTCGACGCGTCCCTCGAAGGTACCTGCCATAAAACATTCTCGCAAGGGGTGATGGCTCCCCCTCCTGGAGTCAGAGTCGGAGAGCGACTCTGAATCTCCCATGAGAAGGTCGTGGAAAGATTCCACGACGTATTCGGTCATTCCCATGAACTTGTCGTTCGTAGGGGATGGGTGCATGCGATGCGCCATGAGGTGGCCGACGGTCCCCGCAGCATTGCACAGACCGAACGGGAACGCTATCGGGGCGCCCCGGGTGAGGTGTTTCGGGGAGAGCGGTTCCCATCCGGTGAGTTGCATCATGACATTGGCGAAGGAGAAGGTAGGGCAGTGCAGCTCCTCTCGGGACGGTCGAGGTCCTAGGAAGGCGGCGAGTTGGCGCTCCAGCCTCCCGTAGCCGAAGCCGAGGAGCCGGTCGCTCCTGGGTACACGGGCCTCCGGCGCGTGCAACTGCAGCTCCTTAAGTGCCTTGACGATCGCGTCGAGTCCGGCGGAGTGGAGAGGCTGGACGGTAGTGGGAGCCTGCGCCACCTTTCCCTCCGTCGTGACGATGAAGTCGAGGCTCCCGAAGCGCATGTGCGCGCTAAGGACTCAGCTGACGCCGTGGCTAGCCATCCGAGGCCTGATGTGGATGTCGAGACGCACAAAAAACCCCTGCCTAGCACGCCAACTGTCGGTGTTTTGGACCACCGACTAGTAAATTTGTATGTGCGCGTCTGGCCCGGATGGTGTGCTTGGAGGACACAAGGATTTATACTGGTTCGGGCGGAATGTCTCTACGTCCAGTCTGCTGCTTCTCGTGTTACCGGCACTAGTTTGTAGTAGGGGTTACAAAAGGGCGAGAGGGGGAGAAGGTCCCAAATCTCTGATGAAAAGATCGAACGGAATTGAGTCTTGTTGAGCTCGTTCAACCGTGTGCTTGTGCCTATCTCCTTTCCCATGTTGTGTTGCGTTCCCCTTTTTATAGAAGGGGAAGATGCAGGTTACATCAGAAAAAGAAAAGAGAGAGAAAGAGGGAGAAAATCGAGGAGAAGAAGCCATCTGGGACCGCCACATCCTTCTTCTTCTTCATGCGGGTCCCGCCGACGCTATAGATGGTGATGGGGATGGCTCCACGTCGGGCTCCTGTTCACCACTGGTGCCATGCCTCGACGTTATCTGCTAGTTGTGGCGTTCCATCCCGTCCCGGCAGACGGCGTGGTAAACCGACGTACCTGTCAGCGGCCGTACAGGGATTAGGCAGCACAGCGCCCATGCACCTGTCACTGTTGGCGATGCGAACCTCCGGGCGTGGCCTGTCGTGGCCACGGGTCACGTCAAGGCTTGCCCGTGCCCTTCTGATGTCAGAGGCGTGACCCAAGCTCACACGCTTTGGACCCGTAGTGGTTGGGGGTGGTACGGACCCCGTCGGGCGAGACGGAGCCCACACCCGAGGGGCCGTGCGAGACGGAGCCCGCGCCCTCAGGGTCGGGCGAGTTGGAGCCTGTGCCCTCAGGGTCGGGCGAGACGGCTCCCGTACCCTTAGGGTCGGGCGACACGGGGCCGTGCCCAAGGGGTCTGGCGAGGCGGAAACCGTCCCTTCGGGGTTGATCGGGACTGAAATACGTCCTTGATTATCTAGACGAGTTATCGTTCGCGGTTCTCAGATCCCTTCTTCGGGTATCCCTAATACTGATACGCGACGCTCGGAGAAGCAGAGGAGGTGAGTAGTTTTTTCCACACATGGCCGCCTTTCGCAGTCATCACCAGACGACGCACTGATGGTGGTGATATGGCGAGATCCACTGCTCTGATGATGAGGCCTCTTAAGCATCGTCAGGTAGAGAGCACAGTTAGAAACTTAGAAACCACTGTCGCTAGCATGGCTGAATTCGTCGTGCTTTTAACGGGATGCGAACGACGCATGTCTCGCAGCCCCTACAGTAGCTATCTCTACATCGACAACTTCATGTTTGGTCGCCAAGTTGAGAAGCAGCAAGTGATCAGCATCTTGACGACCCGTCTAGGCCTGCAATAACCGTGCTGCCTATCATCGGAGGCTGCAGGGTCGGCAAGAAGACTCTGGTTGGGAACATCTGCAGCGACGACAGGATCCGTTCCTGCTACCCTAGCATCTTCCATTTCAGCGGAGACGAGATTCAGAGAATCGACTACGAAGAAAAGTTCTGCAGGCACGTCAGGACTCTGGTCACCGTCGAGTTTGCCTCGGACGTGGCTGACGAGGAATGGCTCGAGTTTCAGTCGTTGTTGGTAGCATCCACAGGCCGAGGAAGCAAGGTGATCATCATAAGCAGGCTGGAGAAACTCGCGCGGTTTGGGACGGTGAGCCCGGTGCGGATCGGCAGCTTGTCGCGCGAGGAGTACAGGTACCTGTTCAAGGTGCTCGCGTTCGGCAGTGCCGACCCGGCGGACCACCCACGGCTAGCCTTGCTAGGGAGGGAGCTGGCGACGGTGTTCCGGGGCTCGCACGTCATGCTCAACGTGTACGCCTCCGTGCTCAGGAGCAGCCTCAGCGTCCGTCTCTGGACGCGTGTCCTGGACCTGTTCAGAGCCATGGCACGCCGGAATCTGGCCGTGTTCGGTGAGCATCCGACGACTCTTCTCGAGAGAGACGGCAGCGCGGTCGACATCACCGGCTTCTCTCTGTCGTCGCTGTCTGGTGCGTCGTTCCGGCTGGTGCTGCTGACGACGACGACAGCTGCGAAGGGTGGTGGTGCTTCGGACGACGGCGCAGTAGTGTTGCCGACGATGTCGTTTGGGGATATAATAGCGGGCGCTGAGATCCTGCCTGATCGATTTCGGTTGGTTTGGGAATCAAGGCTGCCGCCTTATACTGTCATCTATGCAAATTGTGCTGCAGAGAAGCCTCAGGGCCCGGTGTCAGTGTCACCAAGAAGGAACAAGCGTCAGAAGTTGTGTATGTAACTGTAGTAGCTTCTAGCTCGTCAGGCAAACGAACATGATTTGCATGATGCATGGTGTGAATTTGAAGCGGGCATGTTTCATATGATTGTAAGTTTGTAACACTACACAATTCGAAGCTCAGTTGAGTTTTCTAGCAAACTTTAGCCAAGTCAACAGATTTCGCTTCCCAGCTTTCCTTTTGACTTGGTCAAGTTGTAATTTCCAACGCTTGTAACTAGAGTCAACAAAGGCCGGCGACGGCCTCCGTCTGCCGTTGCCTCGTTGGTGTATCATGTGCTTGCGCGAGTCCGGCATTCTTTGCTGTTAAGAGTGAAATGTAAATGGAAGAATTGGAAATGTACTTAGGGCCTGTTTGGAACAGAGGAATGTAAAACGTAGGAATCGGAGAAAACACAAGAATAGAAAAGGAATAGAGGTGTAAAACAGGGGATTAAAAAATATAGGATTTTTATAGGAATCGGTGTTTGGAACACATGAATCAAAATATAGGAAACTATTCATATGGGTTCCACCAAGAGAAAAAAGAATCGGCAGCTGGACAACACTCTCACCCTCCGTGAAGAGTTCTGAACCACTGACAGCATGACCAAGGAAACCAGTGGGTCCCAACAGCATTCACTCATTGCCTTTCTCAAACTGCATTGCACTGCTTCTCTTTTTCTTTCTCTCTCACTTGTTGCCTCGGGCTTACGCGAAGGAAGAAATCCAAGGGATTGGAGTAGATGTTTTGTTTCCTATAAATTCAGCATCCCACTACAGTAAACTAGAGGAAAGGAATTTGCTTTTCCTCCGATCCAAACGCCTACTTCTTCTTACTTTCCTCCGTTTTGGGATTCCTATGCTTTTCCTTTGAGTTTCCTCCAATCCAAACGGGGCCTTATACATTCGAGACCTTTTACAATAGTTGGGAACGCTTCCTAACGCCTCCTGATGTCTACATAAAATAGCCATTTTTATGATTTTATTCGTGCAAGGGTAATATAGTCATTGCACACACACCCGGCACGCCGAAGCCGAAGGGGCACCTCAGGGGACGCAAGGCTGCCTGCCCTCATCCTAGCCATTGCCGCCACTATTACCGAAGGACAACTTCCTTTGGTGACCTGAATAATTCTAGTCCTTAAACTGCCTATTGAATGGATGGGTAGAAAAATAAGGAGGCAATAATCGTGATAGACGAAAGGTGTGATACAAAATCGCTATATCTTTGGTATCCTATTTAAAAACCCATATGTGAAAAATTGGAGATATAAACATATAGGCCATGTTTGGAGGCTCTTATTTTTAAGGAGTTTTTTTTTGTTAATTCAATTTGCCACTAGCTGCTCATAAAAAGAAGCTTTTGAAAAAAAGCCAAGAGAAAGCGTTTGGCATGCCTAGCTTATTTGACGCTGGCCCTTTCCTCTCCCATTTCGGCGGCCACCACCAAAACCATAGTGGATGCGTCCTCCTCCCTCTATCTCTAGGCTCGCCGGTCGCTTGGAAGGAGGCGGTGCTAAGACTTAAAGAGGAGCTAGCATGGAGGAGGGAGGAGGTGCTGTAGATCGAACAAGAGGCGGCGACACTGCAGATTGAATAGGAGCCGATGTGGCGGTAGAAGAGGATGGAGGACTCGAGGGGCGAGGAGGCAGAAGAAAGAGGCACGACAAATTGAAGAGGACACGGTGCAGGAGGTGGAGAGGCGGGCCTTTAATAGGTCCCCTTTGAGGTGATCGAGGTGCTTGATAATCGATAGAGATTAGTATCCATGGAGATCCCAATTCTCCTATGTGGGCCCATAGAAGTACGCTTAGGTAATGAGATTAGTACATATACAATGCAATGAAATTTTCGCTGATGGAAAATATTTGGTATTCCCATGTACTAATTGTATGGGCGACAACTAATGTGTTCTGCACCATGCTATGCATACGGCTTTACCACCGCTATTCAATGATGTCATCTGGGTTGGCTTCACCCATACAAAGGTGAGAATCTTCTTCTGCATTTTTCAATACAGGAACACTTGAACTAGGAGCTCCCTTCACTACCATGGCCGCCTTGATTGGACGCACTGTCCTTTCTGTGCAATGCCCACTGGGGAAGATATTCGTGAGTCGCCTCGTCTCTCGATTCTGGTCGTGGGTGTTGGTAGGGACAACCCCCACTGTCCCACCAACCTCGTGTCGCGGTCAACACTTTGCGCGTCTTGTTCTCCGTGAACAAGGTCGGCCTAGGGAGCACGATGGTCCTCCTCGCGCTTTGCTTCATCTGGAAGAGCCACAACTTGGTGTTTGTTAGCTCAAGCTATGGATCTGCAAAGCCTCAAGCTCCCTAAACGGTGCCCCCTCTTCTAGACTTGGTGTTGTGAGCTCAATACAACGACGTGTCGTAAGCTAGAGAATGCGGCATACAACTCTGTGTTATTTGGTGGCATTTTATTTTCGAAAATTGGGTTTTCGAGACATTTGGACATGTATTGTTCATGTAACCATCATAATGGACTCCAGAGTAAAATATTAACAAGACTAGATAAATGCCCGTGCGTTGCACGGGGACGGGACCACTAATTTTTATACACCCCTATGACGATAAATTTGATCATGACAAACACCAATAGTCAAGTAGTCCTTATAGTTGCTGCAGCCACCTAATGCATGGCACCCGCACCCCGCAGGCTCCCTAACCACTGTGACAAAAATGATTTATAGAGAGCAGCAGCTCACGGCAGCGGCAACGGAAGCTCCCAGCTCGTAGCGTCTGCGTAGCGTACTAGCGTTCCTCTCTCTCTTCTCCGGCAACGAGCGTCCGCGTGGCAATGAGGAGGCACGACTCTCGGTGCAGCTCGGAGGCCCGGCCCCCGGTCATGGCGTGGAGGGACACCCCAACGTGGGCCGCAGCAAAGAGGCCCTGGCCCCTGGCGTGGCGCGAATGGCCGGTGCCCCGGCGAGGCTTCCCCGGCTCGGCCTCCGGCAGAGCGCAGGCACGGGTGAGCGAAGTTTCTCGACGTGAGCAGCGCTAGGTTGTCCTTTGGCAATGACGGCCTCGGATCTCTCATCCTCTACACCTGTGTAGAATGGCGTTATAGTGTGACGGCACTAGTGGGCCCAGCTTACTGTAAATAATACTTTTCCTCTAATAATAGTCTGATGCATCTCTTTTTTTGGCTCGGTTAAAAACAAACAGTAAAAGCAAACTGAATCCATGAAAAATCTCTGAAATACTCTCTTAACTGAAATACAACTAAATTAATTAATGCAGGTGTAGGCACAAGCATAACAGAGAAGGAAAATCGCAGGGAAGTGGGACGACGGCCTTGAGTAGACCCACTGTGCTATGACTTCCGCTGGACGAGGAAGGCTGGCTGTCAGCGTTCTCATCCAAGTTTTTGGTACGACTTTGGATTTGGGTTGCGGAGGAACGGTGTTCGGATAGTGTACATATTTGATCGGATATTATATATATTTGGTATAATTTTTTTAGTCTTTGTGACTGAATAGTATATGTTTCTTTGTATCACCGGGTAGATGATTACTTTAGAGTGTTTTTTTAGGTGCAGAGATAAAATAGAACATCTTTGTACTTGTTGCCGTAAGACGCTTTATCAAAATCGAACACGTTCACGGAAACATCGTTCCATTTATATCGTGCATGTCCACCTATCGAACAAATCATTAGATATACAATTTGGTAATAGTAGGTTTTAAAATAAAAGGAATATCCCGTATTTTAGTTCTCGTTTCTCGTTCCATCCATTTGGAAAACCTGTTGCTAAAGCCCCATTTGGATTGTAGGATTTTCAAAGAAAAGGTACATGGATCAAAATTCCTCAATTTTTGTATACTGTTTATGGGTTTCGAACATAGGATTGAAGGTATCTTTCTTGTGGAAAGTTTCCCTCACCCATATGTTTTAAAGGAAAGAAAACATCCATTCTAGGCTAAAGGAATTTTTTCTATGACACGACGTGTTGTTGTCCGAGCTAGCCAACACTATTGCCAACATTATTTTCCACCATCTCAACCCTGTATTTCAAATGCTCAATCCTATAAAATCAAGAGTTTTCCTATTTCTCTGTTTTACTACTACATTTCTTTTTATTGTTATTTTTCTCATTCCTCCGTTCCAAATAGGCCTGCATGTCCTTGCATTCGATTGGTTGATAATGCCGATGTCCCTTTTTTTTTTTACGGTGATGTCCATGAATTTGATTTTTGCTTGGACTGCAATGCACTCCACGTCTCCACCGAAACACAACTCTACGGAAGCTTAGATTTGGATGCACGTCACGTAAAAAGGGTACGCGGCCATGCCATATTGCCATGGGTGGTCCTCTGCCGTCTGGCCCGGCGCCCGTCGGTGCCTCGGTCGGTCGTTGGAGGTTGGAGGCACGGTAGTCGGCACGCACCAGGGACCCTTCGCTGCTTCGCATGTGGCCGTCGTAGGACGTCTGGACAGAGCGACGCGTTTACCGGCACCCCGTCTCCTGCCGCGTCCAAAGGAAAGCAAAAGGAAGCTGGAGCCTGTTTAGTTGCGCTTCATTTTGCAAAAATTTCCAAGATTCTCCGTTACATCGAATCTTTAGACACATACATGAAGCATTAAATATAAATAAAAAATAAAATTAATTACACAGTTTAGACGAAATTCACTAGACGAATCTTTTAAGCCTAATTAGACTATGATTGGACACTAATTGCCAAATAACTACGAAAATACTACAGTACATTTCGCCAAAAATTTTGCCAACTAAACACTACCCTGGTCTGCTGCTGACGCCTCGCCGCAAACAAAGCAAAATACTGCATTTCGTTCCATGATCCATCCCAGTTAGATTTTGCAAGGCATTTTACCGTTGGTAATTTGTAATCACAGCGGGCCGCCAGGTCAAATTCCGCGGGCGTCATCCACGCTTCCACTCCAGCGAGCGCACCGGCCGCACGGCCCGCACTGCACCGGTAACGGAAACAGCAGCAGCAGCCCCTGCACTGCACGGAAAGAGAGAGAGGAGCACGCGCACC